GACGGAACTCTAAACCCAAGGTCCGAACGCTGGCCCCGAACATTTTCCCCACCGGTTTCCTGGGTCCCCCTTGCGCGTCCCTAGTTGGACTTCTAGAGTTTTATTGTGTATGTAATAGGCATATGACTGTATCTATATACCTAACTTAAATACCTTTATATCTATAATTACATGTTCCTACAGTGGGAAGCCCCGCCAGCCGAGGCGGGCGCGCGCTAGCGTTTACAATTATATACATATATTTACAAGCATACGTATATATCTATATATCTATCTACTTATATATACCCCCATATACCAATCTTAACACCTGAACCCGAAAGCCTAAACCCTAAAGCCTCTGCACCTCGAGATGGAGAACATCGCCAGGTCTGCGGGGCAGCCCAGACGCATCTCTTCATGCTCAATCCTGGGATTTAAGGGTGGGGTTTAGGTTGTGGGTTGTACTTTTTGTGTAGATGCCTTTTTCAACCTAGTGGACAGCAGGTGTAAGGTTTTGGGGTTTAAGTCAAGCGCTTCGCGGGGTCCGTTTGACGTTCGCAGCTTGGCTGAAAGGAGCACTTCTTCACGTCCCCCCGGAACCTTAAGCCGCGTGGCCACATGTTAAACTTACTGGCTGCTCGTGAGGCCTAAGGGAATATAATCCTTATAAAATCCCCATGTATATATTATGCCCTAACTCCCTACTAACCACCAGTAAGTGAAGGGCAAAACAAACTCCAATGAGCACCCAGACTCCACTCCTGCACCCACCGTGCAATGTTGCTTCCTTTGTCCTTGGTTGGCGGTTGGCTGTCGAAGCCCCTGGAAAAAAAGAGACGGTTGATACTGAAAATCCTGTGGCCCCAGCTAGCCCCTGAATCATAAGGTCATGAGGATCTGTTGGTATAAAGGTTGGACAACAGAATTCTTAAGCAATAAGGGAACCCATGGAGGCACATCTTCGTGTTCCCTCATGAATAGCCCCATACAAGCCCTTATACTTTGTGGGTAGCCACGGGCTCATCAACGCCTAAACCCTAAACACTAAACCCTAAATAAACCCCAAATCCTCAACCCTACACCCTAATCAAACCTTAAACCCTAACCCCTGAATAAACCCTAAACCCTGAATAAACCCTAAACAAACCCTAAACACTGAACCCTAAACCCTAGTTTTGCGCAGCTCCCCCAAAGGCTAACTGAGGGTCCGAACTCAGGGCAACTCCCAACGTGCGGCGCGCAGCAACGATGCCCGGGATTAGTCCTTCCAGGCTACACCCAAGGGATCCAAATAGGCCAATGTAGGAAACCCTAAACCCTAAAAACCCTAAACCCTAAACCTACACCCAAGGGATCCAAATAGGCCAATGTAGGAAACCCTAAACCCTAAAACCCTAAACCCTAAACCTACACCCAAGGGATCCAAATAGGCCAATGTAGGTAAGGATTTAGGGTTTAGGGCTTAGGGATTAGGGCTTAGGGATCCCAATAGCGCACCATATAGGGTTTAGGGTTTAGGGTTTAGGGTTTAGGGTTTAGGGTTTAGGGTTTAGGGTAGGTGATTTTTACAAGCTCTAGGGCCCAATGTAGGTATTATTTGTATACCTGGATCCATAAGGGGAAACTAAAGTTTGCACCTACATCTTAATCTACAACCTAAAGACCCTTGAACCCTCAACCCTGCACCCTAGTAGTCCTTCCAACATGGCAGCCCAGACCGTGGCAGACCGACTGGCTGCCTTGGTCGCTGAGGTTTTATGGCTTAGATGTTGGTGTCTTGGGTCTACACCCTAACACCTAAACCCTAAACCATTTTTTGAAATTGTAAAGCATGCGGATCTCATCTCAACCCTAGACCCTAAACTCCGAATGTCCCAATGCACCTTATACTCCTATGGCAGATCCCATTTGAGGGGGCCCTAGGGTCATGCAGGCTTTCAGTATCCACCATATCACGACGAATTTTACCTTATTCAATCCGAGCCCCACACCCCAAACACTAGACCCCGGAGGTTGCGGTTTAGGGTTTAGGGTTTAGGGTTTGAAATTTGGCGTTTGAAGCCTCATGGGTCCAGCCCTCATAGGCTAAACACTTGGCCCTTAATGGGTAAATCCCATTCCCCTCTCCTCTGTAAGCCACATACGGCCCTTCTATGCCTCCTAGTCTCCCCATCTAATCCCTATGTAAGGGCACCCCGCTGGCAAGTCTCCACCCGAAAATTTCCCCTACGTAACCCTAAGTCCTTAAGCCCTAGAACCCTGACATGTTAACCCCCAACCCTATTTGGAGAGACCCTGGAGTAAGGCCCTAATCTTTAAGGTTTAGCGCAATATACTATATCCCCGTCATAAGCCCATTATAACTGCAACTCTATTGCAGCCCTTATGTAAGGGCACCCCCCCTGGCAAGTCTCCACCCGAAAATTTCCCCTACTTAACCCCTAAGTCCTTAAGCCCTAGAACCCTGACATGTTAACCCCCAACCCTATTTGGAGAGAGCACCAATGCTTAAGGTTTAGCGCAATATACTATATCCCCGTGAAAAACCATTATAACTATAACTCTATTGCAGCCCTTATGTAAGGGCAACCCTTCCTGGCAAGTCTCCACCCGAAAATTTCCCCTACTTAACCCCTAAGTCCTTAAGCCCTAGAACCCTGACATATATCCCTGTCATAAACCAATTATAACTGCAACTCTATTGCAGCCCTTTATAAGTAAAAGAGAGCGTGCGTTTGGGTCCCGAAATGAAAAGCAAACAGTCAGACGCGAAAAGGCCGACAGTCAGAAGTGAAAGGACCTACAAATGACTCTCTGACTGACTGTCTGAGTGTCTGCCTACAAATGGAGGGTTGTCAAAATTATGG